TGTCGCTGAAAATGAGAAATCTTCCTTTCAATCACATTTTGCAGGATTGTGGTGACCCTTAAGAAGGCACAGTGGAATCTCAGTAATAGAAGGCACAGTGGAATCTTAGTAATCTGCACATGCTGCAAAGCTCAAACTTAATGGTTTATTGTGTGTAGGTTTAAATCACAAAGGCTGGATTGTCTCTAAACTTTCCTAGTCCACTAGGCAGCCTTTTCCCCCACTGACTCTGAGGGCGGGTGGTCTATCACCCTCCAAATGCCATATTACTCGGAATAAGTCCTTCCTCAGGTCAGGACCCTCTCCATATTCATTACTTAGAAGTGCTTTCCTCTGGAGCTTTACTTTTCAGTGCCTCATCAATGAAAAAGGTGCTATTGAATCATTTGGAAAGAACTGAGGATAAAAGCATAATGGAGGAGGGGTGGGGCAAAGGACCAGACTTTCAAACTAAGAGCCTGGTTAATCTTTAGAAGAGTCCTTGATTATCTGCCACAAGACAGAAACTACAAGAGAGGGCATGGCTGAACCTGTAGCTGAGTACTGTAAGGGCATTTGTTGTTCTGGGAGAAGAGGCTAAGAGAGAAAGCACCAATGGGAATTGTCAACTCCTGAAAGGGAAACTATAGCAGATCTCACCTTCCAGAGCCTCAGGAGGAGTATCTAATAGTATGGGAGGTGAGGCCAGTAGCTTCTTTCACTCCAGAATGGTCAAGACCAACTGCAAACTCACTGACAGTTATTTGCTCCAAGCCCCGCCCCTGGCCTGCACCCATTGGCTTGGAACTCACAAGCCCTGACTTGATTTGCTAGTAAAATACAGCCTTATTTCCCTGTGGACTAAGGCATTTAAGTTATAAGGCTGTGTTCATTTAAAAATAGGTGAGGCCAGATGTGGTGGCACATACCTGTAATCCCAGGGCTGGGGAGGCTGAGGCAGGAGGATCACTAGTTCAAAGCCAGCCTTAGCAAAAGCCAGGCACTAAGCAACTCATTGAGACCCTGTCTCTAAATAAAATACAAAATAGGCCTGGAGATATGGTTCAGTGGTGGAGTGCCCCTGAGTTCAATCCCTGGTACAAAAAAACCAAAAAACCAAACACACAAACAAACAAACAAAAAAGAAA